ATTGCATACGAGACATTAGATTCACTTTACAAGATCCAAAGCACCTAACAAATGAAAAAAATCCACAAAAGTAGAAGGGTTGCGCTTATTTACTGACGGCGCTTACTCGCCATCTATTAGCATCGTCATAGGGCCTTTGCAGTATTTTATAGACAAATAATTACCACATTATGTCCCACAAATATTTTTTTTCAATATTTTGATGTGGTAAAACATTCATAGCACAATTTGCATGATTTGTTTATTTGTTTTAACAGTACAATTTTCGTGAAATTTCCTCTCGAATATGTGCACTGAACAGCCTGGAGGGATCAACTAGATCACTACAAATCATGCAGATATCTCTAACATTTTCAGACTCATCTAATAACATGAATTTAATCTGGTTCCGAAATGTATAGATATTACAGGGGTCAATGAAGATTTACCCTCCATGAATTGTTTGGAAAAATAGATAATAGACTAGAAGCCCATGCTATTTTGGGAGGGGTCATTTGACCCAGCATGACTTATATTTAGAATCCTAGTACTATATGAAACAATTCATTTAGGAACGGTGCCGTCAGTTGAGGGCGGCGCATGTGAGTACAGAGTTCAACTTTCCTTCAAGAGAGGGATATTTCGACAAAATATTCCTGAACGGCACTTCTAAAGAATATAGATCATCAAAAAATCATCAAGTAGTGCTAAATGTTATACAAAAATATTGATATTGAAAGTTGAAAGTATTTTTTTTATTTACGAAAATTTTTGCTGTGCAGCATTTGAATACTGATCTAACATATAGGGTTCAGCACCCAAACATACACTGATGCTCTTAGATTCCATCCAGAGAAGAAACATTCTTCTGGTGGGTGGTGCCACACTCACTAACTCTTTGACATCATTGAAACACCGTAGGAAGGAAGGTAGGCGACCTTCCACTTCTTCGGAAATATCTGATGTCATTACAGAACTAGCAATACTAGTCAGACGAACTCGACAAGCCCAGTCAGTACATCGTTTTGTTGTCAACCTCGAAATTTGTCGAACAGAACTTTATCAAAACTAGTTCATCTATAGAACATCAAAGCACTGGAAATCATTGCCTGAGGAAGCATTTCCAAGAACTTATGTTCTCCAAAAGTTGAAAAAAATGCATTACCTATCTCCTTTCCATGTCCTTCCTAGGTATGCAAGATACCATTCCAACATTATAGGGGTTTCCTTTCTTGCAATCCAAGCGATAAAAAAAAGTTAGATCTTTATAACTACGTACATTCAGTTTTCAGCAGCGCCGTGCAAATTCGTCTGTACAGGAGTGAGAAGCACCGCAAACAAACTTCTTCTTAGGAGGTATGATTCAAGATCATTGAAAAATGTACGGTATCGATTCCATCATATTATTTGACAATAGTTGAGAAATTATGCCCTTTAAGAAGTTTGGTTCATATAACATTAATGAAGAATATTTATTTATATTTATCAAAGAAAGATTATACATTTCTGTACGGCAAACGGTTTCTGGACAGAATGAAACTGAATATCATTGTTCTACATAATATAATATAATATACAGGGTGGGTCACGGTAGATGGCACCTTAGACGTTTACGGAGAACGGGACATAAGATCATTCTGAAAATTTGGTTACTCAAGTAATTGCTCTTGATCTATCGATCTAAAATATTTTCAGCTCTGCGGCGTTGCCGCTTCTATCGAAAAGTAGCAACAACTTTGTTATTTCAAATGGAACACCCTGTATTTTATCGCATTTTCAGATTCTCTCTGAAGAGCTGATTTCATCAATGTATCACACTTGGGGTCTAGCGGAAATGATTACAGAGATAAAGGGGGGGAAAAATCGACATTTTTCAACTTTAGAAATTTTTTTTGTCGAAACTATTCATTATTGGTCAAAACGGCTTACATGTCCCTATCTCAACTTTTGATTAACTATCTACTGATATTTAATTGGGACATATACCGGGTGATCAAGAATCTGAATTCTGCACCACCCTGTATTTGTTTCAATTAAATGTCAGTAGATAGTTGATCAAAAGTTGGGATAGGGACATGTGAGCCGTTTTGACCAATAATGAATAGTTTCGACAAAAAAATTCCTAAAGTTGAAAAATGTCGATTTTTCACACCCTATATCTCTGTGATCATTTCCGCTAGACCCCAAGTGTGATACATCGATGAAATCAGCTCTTCAGAGAGAATCTGAAAATGCGATAAAATACAGGTTGTTCCATTAAAAATAACAAAGTTGTTGCTACTTTTCGATAGAAGCGGCAACGCCGCAGAGCTGAAAATATTTTGGATCGATAGATCAAGAGCAATTACTTGAGTAACCAAATTTTCAGAATGATCTTATGTCCCGTTCTCCGTAAACGTCTAAGGTGCCATCGACCGTGACCCACCCTGTATAATCAATGGAATTGAATGAAAATGTAATTGAAAATATTTTTAAATTTCATTGTAACTATCCATAAGAGGAGTAGTTTTCAGAATATTATTGTTTTTTTTTATTTGCACATATTTATATCAAAACGAAAAAAAATCCCATACATTTTCAATTTGGGGATTTCTCACAGCTGATGCAAATGTGCAACATGTTTTTACGGAATTTTACAGTTGATAATTGTATGACATTCATAAAACTTCATTAGCAATTTGAAAAATGTTTGAAAATCACAGTACCGTTAAAATCGATTATCAGTGGGGTTCGTTAATAAGGAGGATAGAACATTGGTAAAAAGATATGATACTGTGAGACGAGTAACTTGAACATTCTAGTTTATATTTTTAGGGCAGAATTTCATTCTGATGAATCTGCGAGGCATTTGGTATATCTTTAATCTTCCTTTTCCCAGACAAGTTTTTTAAGCGTTTGAATAAGTATTGGGATGTATTATTTTAAGATTCGCCTTTTGCATAGTCCTATAGGATAACAAATAATACCCTAAAAATTGCAATATTGCATATTTTACTAAGAAAACAAATACTTTCATCGATTTAGGCACAAGTGCTCGCCAAAAACGTCAAGTAGTTCACAGTTCACAGTTCAAAAAAGAATGAAACTATCTTTTGAGAGGGTCATATATGTGTTAACGCTGCTGAGTTTCTTCAAATCTTAGAGTGTCAATGGATTGAAAGTCATCTAGTTTAACTATTTATACAACATCACCCGCACATCTCATACACAGTGTTCAAAATAAATATCAAAAAAAGACGGCCTTGAGGTTTTGCTACTACATGCGCTTCAAACTTAAAGACGATTTTCAATTCTTCAATTCTTGTTTTTCTGTATTAGTCCATCTGAGAATTGAATAACTTTTATTAGAATTTATTTGAATAAGAATTTATTTGAACTTGAATATGAACTTTACATTAGTTTCTGCAAATAAGGAGCGACAATTATTGAAGATAAACTTTTTTGCCCTGATGATTTTTTTAGATAACTGCGTATTTATATACACTAGCTGATTCTCAAACCATTGGCAGTCTAATACTTGCAAGACAGATAGTAATGACACTGAAACTTGATATTTGGGGGTTCCAGATGTGCTTGAATCGATTAAGGTATTTTGTTTAGTGAAAATATGCCAAACTTGCTTTCGTAATTTTTAGGCTATACTTTTTTATCGTAGTAGGCGATAGAGAAGGCAAATCTTGAAATAATGCATAACAGCTTCCGAAGTACCTACTTATTATATCAAGACAAAATTCCGGAAACCGGCTGACCACGCCATTAAATAGTTAAAGTACAACACACTGTACTAGAACGAATTTTTATTCGTATATCTCAAACACTGTACAATTGGCAACATCGGAACTATCAAATTCGGAATCGCTGGTCCATTTTATACATGGTACATAACCAAATTGTTATTGTTTCTTCATATTTCCATATTTTATTCGCGCACTGTAGATGCAATGTCATGAACCAGGGAACCTTTGATCAATCTTGTTGATACAATACCCAGGAATGATGAAGAATGCTATTAATATAGAGCTGTATCGGAACTGGAAAATACTATTTCCTGTCCAATGACGCATCCCTTCGAAATCAATTGCCCCTACTGGAGGAATACTTTCTGATGATACTTTTTTTAATTTCTCCATCAAATTCCAATGAAATAAGAAACGAGTTGGATACAACCCATAAAATGTTGCAGCGACGGCACTACTTACAATATTGGTTTGTAGCAGATCCGATTTATCAATTTCGTGAAACGATGAAACTCATTTATTTTATACTAAAGGCCACTTGCTTGCATGAAGGGTTTGCTAAGCGATAAAATATTTTGATTCGTTTCCTCACTCGCCGCTGTCTACTCGCGTTATCTAATGAACTATTTTTTCATCCAATTGACAAATTGGCCTATCAATTTTTATACATTTCCAATTCAATACAATTATTTTTCATCCTTTTGTGCTACGAAATTAATTAAACCTAACGAGTAGTATATTTGTCACTTGTTCTTCACAATTCAGGAGTATTTGATAATTGTTTTGCGACACCCTGTCATGCATATTTCGATATCTCATAAAACAGTATATGATTATAGAGAAAAAATTCAAATTGCGAACTTCTTCAGTTTTCAAGTTTATATTCTGAAAATATGAGATTACTCATTTATTTAACCCGAAACTGATTTTCCATCCTGTTAACAATATGACCCTTAAAAGACAATTCAAATCCATTTACAATTTATCTCGATATTCATGTTCTCGATGTTCTTTTGCAGGGTCACTATAATCAATCACAGTTCATTTATCCCATTCAGCAAAATCTTTTTGTATGCCGACAATTTTGGAATGTTCAACACATCGATTTATATGACAGTAAGTTTTGTTCACTGGTTGTCAAGCCACACCGAACGGTGAGTACTTCACTTACCGTTTAATGAACAGGAAGTGAACAGTGTTATACATTGAATACGATAATGGAAAATCTTCACTATCAGGTAATTATCAGTCCGTTTCGTCACTTAAAATAATAATTGAACTCACCGGTTCTGAGCAATTTTTCTTAATGTATCTGGGACACGAATTAACTTATCTAAAGTTTTTACAATAGACTGGAAAGTAGGCCTATGGGTCCTTTCTTTTTGCCAACAGTCAAGCATTAATTGGTAAATTGCCTCTGGGCAATCCATGGGAGCAGGCAGCCTTGAAAAAATTCAAATCAGGTATTTGCAATCAGGAAAATTACTTTTGAAATTACCTATAGCCTTTCTCTATGCTTTTGATAACATCTTGATTGGACCAGTTCCAATACGGACGCTCTCCATAAGACATTACCTCCCAGCCAACTATACCCATGGACCAGACATCGCTGGCTGAAGTAAATTTACGGAAAGCAATGGCTTCTGGTGCTGTCCATCGAACAGGTATCTTACCACCCTGAAAAAAAGTTCAAATAAATAACAGTTCCACCCTGCACCATTCAGAGGGTAATCGTCACTTCTTTAAATGGATACAATTATTTCCAATGGCTAAATGAGCTATAAAAATAATGAAAATGAAAATACTAATGATAATGATAATGATAATTTTCATCGGATAACAATGTCTTATTTTGAAAAAAAGACACAATTAATTCCGCACGATACACTGTTGCGTTCCAATTAACAGTGCTACTCCTAAAGTGGCGTATGGAAACAGTAACAAAACCTACACAGAACACACATTGGCTGAAGGACCTCTCGTAAGTTCGATAGACCAGTTGGTGTGCATATACACACCAACAAATTACGTATATACACAAATAATTGATTGGTCTATGAAAGAAGTCGAGAGTTCACAAATTAATTTTTAGTATAGATGAGTCACAGCAGTGAATTACAGATTTGAGCTGACTTGTGCGCGGGTAGGACTATGCTATGTTCAATTATGAATACAAGATAAATGACATATGCGATGAGATTCAAGTAGATAGTGTGATGAAACAGAGCAAGAAATTGAATACATCAAATGAATAACCACCAAACCATTATTCCAGATTTTTTGGGATTTTCTCTCCTTGTTTCAATATTATTTCAATATACGTGTAGTAAGAAAAAATCAGATGATTTGCCAAACTGGCAATCAAAGAATTTTCTTATCAGAGAGCCTGAAAGAAAAATTCACTAGCTTGTCAGTGACAATATGTAATGAAAAAGGTATCTCGAATCACCCTGTGTAGCGATATTCGCTCAATATCAGAAAAATGGAATTGATGACTTTCAATGGAACATGGTAGTATCTATAGATAAATGCTTGACACACAACGCCTCTTGTTTTCATTTTCAGTTTTCAAGAAAATTCAAGAAAAAGAATGTCATTTCGAAGAATTAGTAATAGGAATCCTGATTGGAGAGGAATCAGAATGTTCGCGTGTTTCATCAAAAACTAAACAAAGTGCTTCCTCTATTTGCTATTTTATTGGGTTCCGTGACGAAAATTCGATAGATGACGTGTCACCATTTTGATTTTAGAAAAAATGTCTCCTACGCCGCCAATTTTAAAAACAAATGTTCACTTGTGATATATCATTGAAAAATTATGTTTCCACTCTATCCAATGGCATGAAAACATCTACAGGGGTTCCATTTAAAATTCTTGGCCTATGTCATTTTCTGGTGAAACCGGAATTATTTTTTCATGGAAAATACGGTTTTTGAGGACTACATCCTCAATTCGAATGTCAAATGTCGAACAACGGAATGATGCCTTATCCACTGAATTTGTTGTAACCTTGTATACACAATATAAATCATGTAATATTATCATTTGAAAAAAAAACTGTAGAACTGATAAACCTCCTATTGAATATGAAGAAATAAGTACAAAACACAATGAAGAAAAAAAAAATAGCAATGAACAGCCACACAAACAAGAAATTATTTCAAATTACATAATCAACACTGAGAAAATTGATAATATGAAAGAAAACATGTGGTTTTGAAAAGGAAATTTCATATCTGAAAATCATTGTCAGACAAAGATTTCTTCATACGCGAATTGCAAGAAAAAAAATCAACTAATACAAAGGAAACAGTTCCAACAGTAGGAAAATAGGTGCCCCCATGCGAACCGCAAGTGTCACATCGCGATCGCGAAGTATGTAACCTTGACCATGAATCGAGCGACGGAGTACCGGGAGGCATATTGTCAAACAGTGTGACGAACACGTATTTGGTGTTGGCAAACCCCCTTGCAATACAGAGCACGCTGTGAATCACTCGGGACCTTGCGAGTGACAACGCTGCATCTGGTTAAACAAAATCCAGTGTGATACAGAGACTGATTATAGTTTTCTTGTTACAAATCAACTTCTCAGTAATTTGTTTAATCAATAATACAATATACAGTTATGGATTGAAACGTATGAATTAGACAATAATAATGCATTTGTAATTGGATTTTTCTCTCAGACATAATAAAGTTCACTTGGTTTCAGTTGCCATCATACAAATTCAAGTGTATTACATATATTATGATCTCGGAATCTCTGATAGATAGAGGGTTGGTTGAATTAGAGCAGAGTCCATGGACGTATAAACTTATTTACATCGTAATGTGAAGTCAGATAATACGGTCACAGTATACCACCTGATGTTGAATTGGAGGTTGTCACGTCCTGTCGCTAATAATTCCTAACCTCAGTCTAATCCTCTCAAGTATTTGTTATTACCTTTTTTGTAATCATCTATTCAATTAGATGTTCATTATGATCCAATTCATAGAACTCAAGGAATAAATCATATGTCCATAGATAGTCACAATCAAATATTATAAAACTGTCGTTATACATTATTTCAAAGTTATTCTGTAAAGGTTACCAAGATTATACACAACCGACAACGCCGCTGCAAAACAGGCTCGTTTCGTAATGTTTCGTGCTTTCGACGAGTTCGGCGTTGTTCGTTTATGTTTATGTGTTTGAGGAAGTTTATTGTTTTCGTTGTTTTTGAGTGAATTTTCTTATTTTTTTTGTAAAAAGTCAATAGACAGAGACTAATAATGGTGTTACACTGCTGGATTTGCCAAAAAACAAAGTTTTAATACCCAAATTTCACCTTCCATTCGTAAGTACCATTTGTTTACATGTTCGAATTAGAGTTTCATAGGCGTAACAATTGATATTTTCATCAAATAGAGAATGCGAAGTCTCGATGTATTTCTTCATATATGTTTATATCCATTTTTTACGTACATAATTTATCTGAGAACATTCCTTTTCAATTCTTTTCTGTTAAGAGGAAGCTGTACTATGATATGAAGCAATAATGCAAGGGTTTCGTAGTTCCTAACTTTTCACGGTCATTTTTCATTTTCAGTGGATGAAAAATAATGTACATATTCATGAACATCTTATAAATGTTTCTGCCGTCTTACTTTTTCGAAATTTGATTCGGTTCTTGAGAAAAAAAATTGAAAATCATCAAAGAACACGTTATTTTGCGATTTTTTTAAAGAAAAAACTGAATCAAATTTCGAAAAAGTGAGACGACAGGAACATAGATTAGATCTTCACAAATATGTGAATTCGCATTCTCTATGTATTGCTTCATATAAATATATATCCATTTTTGTATGTTCATAATTTATCTGAGAATATTCCTTTTCAACACTTTCATACCCTATCAGAGGGTTCAAACTTGAACGATGGAAACTTGTGATTTTTATAGACCTCTAATCGCAGATTCGTGATAAAGTCCTAATGCAGAATTTTCATTCCACGCCCTGTATGATGAATGTCAATTTATCATACACCCAAAAGTAAATATTGTGAAGTTTCGGAACATCGGCTGGGGATAGTCCTGCACGATTCGCTGTTGCGTTCCAATTAACAGTCCTGCTCCTAAAGTGGCGTATGGAGTTAGTAACAAAGCCTACACAGAACACGCAGAAAGAGATGATGATGTGGTTGTGAGCAACAAGAAGTAGGACGGTGCATGTAGGTGGGTGTGGAAAACTACCAGCTGAGCGTGAGAGCGGGCCAGCTGCATAATGGACCTCGGTCTCTAACGGGGGTTAACGAGGATAGCTAGCAGACCTGCCACTGCGCATATGGTAGTGAGTAGATTACTAGCTTACAAAACACAGCCGAAAAACTCTGAAAGAGAGCTAATGAGCGGTGCCTGAAAAATATGTTAGCCAGCTCTCTTAAGCGAACCACATCAGTCATTGAAAACACTTTGGGGTTTGCAAAAAGGTCCCATTAGGGACTAGTTGCTGACGTGCAAACGTCCCCCACCAGTACCAGTTACCAGTCCTATAACGTTACAGCGTTACCAGTAAAAAGCTTTGAATTTATGGAAAAAATCATGAGACAATCTCCGCGAATATTTATCGTTTATCGAAAACTACTTAGGATAAGTGAGTTGTAATTTGATATGATGGATTCTTCAGTATAGTGCTTATTTAAAATTTGTGGTAAACATTTTTATATAGCAATGCACTATCGCCATTTTCAGAATTTTTGCCTCAATTGGATCCAAATACAATGTGGAAAGTACAAAAATGAAATCATGTGGAGGAAAAATCCCAAATAGTCAGTCAAAATGAATTAATTGATGGGTTTCAAGAGGGCTACTAGACTGCACTAAAACTAAATAGGTCCATGAATGAAAAGAGTTTGTCGATAATTAAAAATATCAAACAAAATACTGATGAATGTTTCGATTTCGTCCGGGCACATAACTCTCTACATTCTACTAAAATAATATAGCAACAAAGTTTGGAAAGGGTTTCATTCAATTACAAAATTCAAGACCGGACTTGGTTTTTGTAAAAAAGCTAAAAAACATTTATAATTTTCGGAATAGATTTGTTGATAAAGGCTTTGGTTTTGGTGGCGTTGAATTCAATTCGATTGTTGAGTCGCCAGGCTGTTGTTTCAGCAAGATCTTTATGGACAGCGTTGACCTACCTTCGTCGTAAGTTCTTAGTTTTCTGGGAAGAAATGGAAATACTAGGAGCAAACGCAGTATGGAGAGTACTATCATCTGCAAAGCTGTGGATGGGGCAAGTTGTTACTCCCAACAAATCATTGATATGAAGAAGGAATAATGTTGGTGCCCAAATTGATCCTTGTGGAACGCCGGAATTGATGGCAATGGTAACAGACGATACTACGTCCACCACCATATGGAGCGATCTGCTTAAAAGGAAGCTCGATAAAAGATGGCATAACTGAGGTGGTACGCCGTATGATGGTAGTTTTTGGAGGGGTCCTTGGTGCCAAACACGGTCAAATGCCTTTGATATATCTAACGAAACAGCTAGAGATTCCCCATGTGTTTCTAGTGAAGCTTGCCATATATGGGTGACGTACGCAAGTAAATCTCCAGTTGCTCTTCGGTGGCGAAAGCCATATTGTCAATCATTAATGATTCCTGAGCTTTCCAAATATTTGATAAGCTCAATGTTGATGACTTTACCCGACTCGTACGAGATGGTAAATAACTTGCAGTCAATTTTGGTGCACACTCTTTGAGGAAAATGGGTAAGGCTACTGAACAGTTAGCCTTATTCGTTTCGAGACAAAGCAAAATGCGTCTGATAGTGCGTTGACGAAACACGATTTCGGGCATTCGACTTTCAACGGGTGGAATGTCTGGCGGAACTTTTCCCTGGGAATCTAGGGTGGAGTTTGCTGCGAACATGCAAAAGTGTTCGCTTTCTCTTGCAATTTTGTTGCTATTGTGCCGTCTGCTTTGGAGAGTAATGGGAATGAACTATTAGCAACATTTCTTCTGACTGCTTCATCAGTTTTCCCCAGACTAAACTGCACAAAATCAAATGAGAACAACGGGAAGAGACACATCTACATTTCTCAATACAAGTGAGAAAATAGCAAAACATCCAATACCGCAGGATAGTAATGTGGTATTCATATTTTCACTCATAATGAGTTCTAGAACAAATATTAATCATTTGAATATATCTATGTATCTTACCCTCGTGGTATATGCTCCCTCTGTGGCACTCTCAATTTCTCGACTGAGACCAAAATCGGCTATCTTACAGGTTAATTGCGAATTAACCAATACATTTCTTGCTGCTAAATCACGATGTACATAATTCATTTCACTCAAATATTGCATGCCCGATGCAATACCTCTCAGCATTCCAGTCAGCTGAATCATTTGGAATTTGCCATCATTTGCCTGAAATCACAAAAAATGTTGAATTTTGATTTTTGAATTTACATTGAACACCATATGCATATTCATATACAGGGTGTTATAGATTCAAATCGTCATATGATCCTGTAGAAAGGAGACACTTTGATGGCTTCAAATCACCCCCTATTGATGTATCTATCGTCTTTCAACTGATTGGCGGTCCGTTGGTCGAGAATGCAAAGGTGCAGAGTTCGCAAGGGACCTACCACCGAGACATGGGTTCGAGCCCTAGGTAGCCCATGGATGTCTGTATATGTAAGCTTTCCTAACCTCGCTCAAGTTTCGACTTATAGGGCGTTGGTTCCAGTAGTAGAACCAACAAGGAAATGCAATTAAAAAAATATACATGACTTCATCTGGTCATTATTGTTTGAACCACTATGTATAATTTCTTCATACTTGGTAGATATCTTCCACTTACATTACCCATGAAGACTAATAACTGGAGATCGCAATCCCGGCCAGTCTTTAGGAGAAACATAAAACTGCTTCTATTTCAAAAACACTATGTGGCAAAATTTTGTAGATGTTTCGATATCTAAAAAGAGCGGGAAAATGGATGGGGTGACCTACTTTTTACGAGCGCGCATTCAATTTGACAGATTATTTTTTTTTAATATTCAGCTCCAAATTGAGCTAATAATTCAAAATCCAATCAATTTCAATAAAATAATAACAGTCTTCAAATTTGAACTTCATTAGAGTCAAATTAGGTAAACATCGATAGATTTGTTCGTTTGACAAAATAACTTGTCAATAATGTTGAAAATTTTCTAGGGCTCATTGAAATTTTCACTATTTATCCATGAGCTTTGATAAAGTAGTATTTGCAAAACATTCTAGAATTCTCATAGTTTATAATTACTAATGTGCTATTATTGGTAACGTTGAGTGGAAGTGGTACATTGAAAACTGTGTGTGTGGCAGAGGTATAAAATTAACTACTGGTGGGTGCAGCTTGAATAATACGCAGATGACGCAAACGCCATCACTCGTTTGTACATCTGTTCTTAGACCGATATTCTGTAACCTGTACGCAGTTGCTCAAAGATCTCGAACAATTACGAGAGAAAGTCTAAATTCGGTACGACGCGGTGGTGCCGACTTCCCGTGCATTGAGAAAAACGCTCCAAACGTTGGACAGTCGACTAGCCGTGCTAGCCGATATAAGCTTTAAAAAAATTTCATCTGGGTGATGGAAGAGTGCATTTAAATCCAGTTGCATTCATTTCGGAATGCACGAGTGGAAAGCTGTTAGTTTTATATTCTGTCGATATTAATTTCACCTCGAATCATATTTTCACAAATGCAACATTATTTGTTGAACTAACAGCACGTTGCGTAAAGCCTTCAATATACGATTGAATATTCAAATTGTTTATATCCAAAGTAACGTGTTCCTTAGCTGGGGAGTTGGGAGAGTCGATTCCACCAGTTAACAGAGAGGTTAATAGTCCAGTAGTCAGGGACCATGAGTAAGCCTTGCCCATCAAACGGTCAGGTAGTTTTGATTATTGGATTGAACTTAAAAAAATAGACAGTGATGAAATCATTCAAAGTTTCTTGAATTCAGATGGTGAATCAATTATAAATCTTATGAGCAGGACCAATCAATGAAATCTGTTTGACCAGTAGTTGGATAATCCATTTTAGGATTAGGAACGTTGAGCAAAATGATCGATAAACAAAACAGAGATTGTTGTTTATGCTCCACAAAAAAATTCCTAACCTCACAACTATCTGCACTACACTTCTCACAATACTTTGACAACGAGCACAGTGTAAGGATACACCATATAACACCGAACGGTACCAATGCTACACAATCTACTCTGGTGTTCAATATTGTTGATAATGGAGGCACAGTGAACAGACCTGATATGTGTAAAGAGGAATGCTATGGGTGTGTCTAATGTAAAAACTATCACGGTGCCCATGTAATAGTTGTATTCGATGGATTCTACAAAATAATTTTCAAAGATCGTAGAACCGCAAGATTTCTTCGACGAAAAAATGAATGCCCAGGTTTTTGCAAGATAAATTCCTGGCGAACGACAGTAACAAAAATAGTTTTATTTTAACGCTCAAACAGCAATTTGCTGAATCAAATATATTTGTAAAATAGGCCGTCGTGGATGCAGATACGTTGATTGTCAACACTGCGATTTGCATGTCTCCAGAGTATGATGCTGTTATAATCGTCGGCGAAGACATAGATTTGCCTTTTCTCCTAACAGGATTAAGACCAGTCCATAATGATATTTTTACGCTGGCGGCAGTAGAAGTTAGTTTCTCTGGTAACAAAAGAGGGGCAGAAGTCTCGTATTATTCCCTAGGGAGATAATATGAAATATTTTCTCCCTAGGGAGTTTATACCAACTTGACATTTTTCCGCATAGCTCTGCGCTTTCATTTCGGAACACCCTTCTCTGAAGCGAGTATAAGCTGCATCATAAAGATTTCTGGTAGCATCTCACTGGTACCAAGTTAAGAATCACTGCAGATGCGGTATCAATAGTTTCTTGGGGTTTTCCCTCGATTCCTCGTTCCATAACCGTTAACCATTTTCAAAGCTGTTTTCATAAATTTCAGTTTGATATTCGCTGTCACCATAGGTTTTCAACATGCATGCTGTCAAGATACGAATTCCACAAACTATACAACTACTAATTATGACAAAACACTTCGAGCAAATTTTTATTCTTTCTTAATTTTTTGTGATTCTTTCGCCAGCGTGAAAAATAGTATATATACCTCAGGAGAGCATGCTATTTTTCCCTCGGTGCTTTGTATCGCACCTTGGAAAAAGTCTTGCATTTCTGTCTGACCTCAAATGCAACGGACAGGCAATGACAATGTTTCTCAGTTTGACATATCCAAGAAAATATACGTAACGAAGCAAGGAAGTTCAGGAATCATAGAACGAATTTATGTTCGTGAACAAATAATCATTTTATTGTGATGCAGCGGGGTTGCCGTATCTCAGCTTTTAATGGTCATAAAAAAATCCATGTTCAGATTTGGATAAGGTAGGTATCAAATGGCAATGAGAGATCAACACGATCATCATACTAAAATATCATGAGTAACTGGAACTTATAATTGCGCGTTTTCGTATTTTATAGCAAATTGCACCATTTCAAAGCGTTACAGTCAGTCGAACAGAAACTTGTTGAGAACTTTTATGGAATTTAGTCTTTTATAAGAATGATGATATATATATTTTTGTGCTTGAACCCACCAATAAGGAAATGCAAAAATGAACAGCTTCCGTTGTTTTTCAAGATGGCGGCTAGCGAGGGCGGCCGCCGAGGTCTAAAAGAACCCCAAACTCTAGGACATCCAAGAATCAGAACAACAGGAAAAATTCCTCTAGCTACTTGACTATTATGCAGCCGGCCCTAAAAGCGTACATGCAAGGGATAATTTGAGCATCGAGGAATTTTTATATCGAAAAAATTGAACGCGTTAAAAAAAAGATTAATAATCTAAATTGAAATAATTTTCAATTTCGTCACTACCTTAGCTACTATCCTCGATTTTGATAGATTGAAAAATGTCTTTGCCAGAAGGGACTCTGTGGATATTTCATTTATTTATAAAATACTCAACAATATTATAGACTCTGAATAATGAAACTGCTAGGAATAGGCTAACTTTCTACCCGCCCTGGTTCTCAACAAATTACTATGGTAATCAGAGTTACCGGTGTTTTTTGTCCAAATAGACAGTGATACCGCTTTGTGAATATAATGAATGCCTCACCAGCATAGTTAAAAGGAATCTAATGGTGTACCTGTTATGTATTGACCAAACTTCTCTTACCAATCTCATGTTAGTAAGTATTTCGTCATCTGTTTTTTCTACAAGTTTTATCTACACCATGTTTTATAGATGTCTTGATAAAGGAAATAAACATTTCCGAAAGCTCGGCTATGTAACGAAGAGTTTTCTTTTATGGCCAAAATTTTGACTGCATCCCCAACACGAAGAAATATTGTGATATTTTTTCTATCTTCAGATATTTTATATATATATATACATACAATATGCCTGAAAAAGTAGGCAAGAAATGAAAAACTTTTTTATGGTTGATTATATGAAAAAAGTCATTCCACATATGAAAATCTGCAGAGCCCAAACCAAGAAGGCAAATATCCGATTTTTTTTTTCAGTTGTATATGAGATTGGCCAAAATATGTGAATTTCTCACAAAGAGTAAAGTACCTTTATTTTCGACAATATCGAAAATTATTAGAAAGTAAAGTTTCCTGAAATTGAAAACTACGTTCACATATTCAATTATATATATCTACGATGGAAATAATGTTTCATTATTTTTAGAAATTTCTGTTCAATTTTTATGGACGTTGTATATGGCCGTAGGTACAGTATAGTAGGCAATGCGTGTTGTAAAGCAATTACGCACTCGCCGCTATGCAACTGCATGTCTAATTTCCTATGTGTAAATGTTTCTTACAACATTCATTACGTGATATGTCTCATATTTTCATTGTTGTTCACAATTAGACTCGTTATATCAGTGCTACCTACAGGTTATCGTCTTCAAACAAAACGTTCTGCGCTCAGTCTCCAAACATTGTCATCGTCCAGTAAACCGCCATTGCCGTTAAACCTGTCATATGTTCAACTTGTTTAAGTTCAACTACCGATAATAAATTGAAGATATTTTTTAGGAGGTGTTGAAGTTCGTTTGAACTTTCAATTTTGAATGTTCAGCTCTGTTGAAATAAAAACTAGATATTATGAAACTCAATAAGTATCTATATGAAGGCAATATAAATTATTTCATATTGATAGTTTCATTTGAGCTATACTAAGTGTAATTTACGTGCAATTATTATCCAATCTTATTTATATCTTAGTTATACGAAATATAATTCACCAGCACCAATACAATTTTGCAATCTGATCAGTCAATCGATTATTTCTGAAAATATATTCAACTTCAACATTATATT